CCCCTACCTTATATATATATATATATATATATATATAATATTTTTAAGATTAAAAATTCGATTTTTTTGGTTAATGGCTCTATATATCGGTCGCTCACTCCCCACCCCAAACATTCCGCGAGCCGAAACAATTTAGCTGTTCTCCCGCGGACCATTCTGCCCTTCCCGCAGCCCCTTATTTCCCCGTTTGAAGCCCTCCGTCGGATACCAGACAGATCCCCTTCTCCCCCGCTCGCCCGCGGTTGCTCTCGACCGAGACCCTAGCCGTAGTCTCGCTTCGAGGTCGCTCGTGATTGATGTCGACGGGACGGCCGTCTTGAATCGGGTCGGGGGGAGGAGCAGGGGATGGACGGCGTAGCGGTGGAGCCGATCGAGGAGGTCGGGGAGAGCTCGTCGCCTCCGAGGGCGGTCGGAGGGCCGGGGGTGTACGACATCAAGAACGAAATCTACGAGAGTCTCGTGGCGAGCGGGAACGAGGAGGTGCTGTCGAATCCCCACTTCAAGGAGCAGTTCGATGCCCACTTCAGCCGGTTGCCGGCCAGGTGATCTTCGTCGGATCGTTGATCATAAGTGGGTTTCTGGTTTTGTTTCGGTTCTTGGTGCGGAGTTGGCTTCTGCCTTCTGCTCTGCTTTGCGTAACTGAGTTATCCTTATTCTGAGCATATTTTTTAAAAGAGGGATGCTGTTTCATCGACAAGCATCAAGTCATTTATGTGTTTTCCTCTGTTGATTTTACATTTTTCAGTAGGAAGAAATCAGAATTATGGTATTCTTAATAACTAAATTCAAAGAAGTTCTGATTGGAGAATTATCCGGTTTTAGCGATATTCCGAGTCTGTTTGTGTTTGTCACCTTAGTAAGAACTTTCTTCCGGAGTTGATGTTATTGCTATGACGTAAATCATGAATGCTGTGACATAACAAACGATTTCCTTTTTATTTTCCTAAACCAAGATATATGCGTTTTATAAAATTTATTGCGTAACCTTGGTATCAAAATTTTATAAAAGAAGAATTCTTCTTAATTGTTGATAGACTGCAATTGATTTTGTGCTTCTATGCAGTTATAAATTGGATTTGAATGTTGATAGAGCAGAAGATGTTTTGATACATCAGAAAGTTCTAACAGAAGCCAAGGACCCAGACAAGCGGCCAGTTTTCCATGTCCGTTTTATAAAGGTATTCTCTTGCTGGACCCTATTTGCTTCTTTTTGGCATGAAATGCAATTTTATCTACTTGTGGCAAAAATTTTGATTAGAAAGGGTGTCATGTTATAGTTTTTTATATTTGACCTATGTATTTTATGCATCTATAATGGGCTATTTAGCTTTGGTTATGCTTTATCTATACTTTAAACCAATATAAATTTTCAGTTCCTTTGGTTTAAGGAAAGAAAATGTATGAAGATTATAGTAGCTGATCGCATACATCTCTATCAAATGTTGGAGTTTATTGCCAGGAAACAAGATTGATATTGGGATGGTTCTATATCTCCCTTTTCCTCGGGTTTTATTATGATGCACTGATGCTAGATATTGTGCCCTTAAGTTGTTTTTAAGTGCAGGTGGATGAGATATAAATTATTTGGAAAACATATTAATTGCTCTTGTAAGGCCTGTTCTTACTCATGTGCCTTCTAGGCATCATCCCTAATGGAGTCTTATTGAGGATAGAGACTTGAGTCTATTTAATGATTGCCTAGAATATCTCAGAGGAACGTTTTTGCTTTTCTTCTTGCTTGATGCAGCATTAAATGTGATAATAGCTTTTTGTTTGAATGAATTTCTCTAGAGGAAAAGGAGGATGGGAGAATTGTTTCATAAATGTGAATACAAGTCTGAGCTATGCTCATGGTTATGAAATGAGATAAAAATCTATGTAGGTATGATTATTCTCTGTTTCATATACTTGAGTTTATATAGATAGCATCAGGAAAGTAAATCCTAAATGTTCCTCATTGACCTTCTTAACCTTTAATATTGAACTAGTAAATGAAATGTTAGTTCCAACTGACACCAGTAAGTCACACTGTCGTTGTTAGGGATTGCTTATTGATATATTATCTCTAGCTTATTCTCTCAGCAGAGGATATCTTTGATCAAATGATAGCGGATAAAGAAAGGATACATAAGATAGATGGAGAAAGTCATACTATAGATCCTTGCATTCTGTCTCTGCTCAGTTACCCATCTTGTTTATGTAATCTCTTGAATGACTCCTTTTCTTATGCACGGTAGGATTATTTAGTCAAGAGATAAAGGTTCCTGACCCAAGACCTAAACTAGTCACTTTTCTTTCCCATCTCCTACTACTAGTTGATGTAACCATACAAATTGGAGTCCCATTATAGATCAAGAAGAGTAGAATACAACATATGAGGCATATTCTCTCTAAATCCTTATATTAAAAGTATTAAAAGTTGCACAAAAGTATCAGAAAACATAACTCTTGATTTGGAAAAGTTATGCCTCATCCAGCCTAAAAATTGAACATATGTCTTATCTCAATTGCATTATGATGCTTCTACAGCAGATATTTTGTCCCCATTGGTTTAATTGTGCAAGTGTTCTAGTAACTGTTGGGGCTCTCGGATCCTGTTATGCAGATTAACTCCCTTGTTTCTAGGTTGATGTTGATGTAATTCAATCAGTTCCTTTGCTGGTGGTCTTTCTTTAAATTGATTTGCACTGGACTGTGCAGTATGGTCTTTCTTCAGGCTTGAAAGGTTAGTAACAAAATGGTCCACAAATAAGAAGTGTATCTTGTTCCCTGTTGTCTCCTTGACTGATGGGAATTGTACAGCAACTTCTTTATGATAATTTTGAAATTGCAACTAAATATTCTTTCTTGATGGACTTCTCTGATGGATCCTAATGACTAATATTTTGTGTTGAATCCTTGGCTTCAATGCGTATTCACCTTTATTGATGTTTTCAAATATGCAAAATAATTCACTAAATATAGCCGTCCCTAAATTGATGCAATTCCATAGTTTGAACCATTGACAACTTTTTTGCATTTTTGGGGTTTTATGGACCTTCTCTAAACTATTTTGTTTTGTCTTATTGATGAGCTTAACAAATGATATGGCACTCTTCTGTTCCTTTTACTATTCAAGAGTTCTATTGATGTAATCTGCTATTGGTATTGCATGAGACATTTTGCATCTACCAACGATCATAGGCATCTTTTGATTGTAAGGTAACTCTTTTATGTTGCCTTTAGATCTTGGGGACACTTTAATAAGTGGTTGTTAATATTTTGGATCACATTATAATTTTTTTTGTAAGGATTTTAATTTGGAATAATACCGTCTGTATTGGGCGGCACATATCGGTTCACCAGCAGACCGGTACACAGACCACCCGCTATCGGGTGGTACTGTCGATTGGGTTGTTTCCGCCCTATCAGTCGTCACCGCCCGCTACCCGATGGTATTAATTGAGGGAGAAGAAAGAAGAGGGAGAAAGAAAGAAGAGGGAGAAAGAAGAGGAGAACCTGGAGATTGGCGTCGCTCTCCCTCCTCGTCTGAGGCGACGAGGCATCGACGTCGTCGGCTAAGAATCCTCGGCGTCGCGGGGAGAAGAAACTGAGCATCGAGGCGGCGTTTCTTCTCCACACACAGGCAGAAGAAACAGTTTCTTCTCCCCACTTTCTTTTCCACACGAGTAGAAAAGAGGCGACATCGCGGGCTCACCGAAAATCATTTTTTTTACTTATATATATATATAATGAGGCGACGAGGCGGTCGCCCTTATATATATATATATGTATGTATATATGTATGTATATGTACATATACATAACGAGGCGATGTCGCCTCGGTTTTCTGCCCGCGTGGGGACTTCTCCCCACGTTCCAAAAAGGGTGACGAGGCAATCACCCTTTTTTTCCTTATATATATATATACCGAGCGGTATACAGTACCGTACCATACCGAGCAAATCTCGAAACTTTGGTATGGTATAAAATTAAAATCCTTGCTTTTTTGTGTTTCTACCAAGGTGTTTTGGGTATTAGCTGAGTATTTTATATGGATTGTCAAGTTCCTTTTCTAACTATCTTTAGTGTTAGGCCATCAGCCTCTCTATCCTTCTTGCCCTGAACAATGTTAATCAAAATTTGGTGTTATTTTCTTTCAAGTCACATAAATGCAGTATCCAGGTTTCTGACTTTATTATTTTAGGTGGAAAATGTAGTATAGGCTTATGAATTTAGGCTGCATCTTTTGCTTGTCTTCCCTCTTTAGTTCCAACAATCTGTCTTTTAAATTCTGAGTGAAATTGCTACTTCTCTGAATTACTATGTTCTTTTATTTTCTTTGTTAGAGGTCCTGTATATGTTTATTTGGCTTATCTATGCATTTATAGATTTTCCTCTTTACATACATATTTTGTTAGAAATGGGGATTGTGGAATTAACTTTGAATCTTGCTCAAAGCTAGAGGAACAAAATTTGGATGTGACAAAGAACAATGAGGACACTGAAGACGAATCTGATTTTGGAGATGCTCTTTCTGCAAGGTGTTTACCTACTCTTAGTACCCAAGAATTATTTCCAATTTAATGATTTTAGTGCTGCATGGTTATGAGTATCCATCTCAAGCATTAATTGATGTGAATCATATTGAATATCCATTTGAACAAATGTAAAATTATTTATTTGTAATAGCTGTCTGTATTATAAATATGAGACTTATAATCTAAAGGTGATACACACGATGATGGACCTATAAAAGACTTTCCTTTTAGTGATCCTATTTTGAAATCTAGCATAACCTGATTAAATATTATATGACTAACTAATTTCTTATCTGGAACTCTGCTTTGATTCTGTTTTGCACGTTTTACTAGTTTCACCCATCCTCAGTTGTTCAAGATTTTCCTAAATTTATGTCATGTGCTATATTTCTATTGATTATCATCTATGTTTTTACAGGTGACATTGAGTTTTCTAGTTAATCTTGCATAAAGAGATAGCACCGCCAAGTGTCATATCGCTCAATTCTATGTGCAAATTAAATAGAGCAAGAAGAATAAACTGGTTTATCTTTAGTTCCGACGACTGATTTATAGTTTCTGTTTCCATTTAGATGGTTCTCATGTTGTGTCACAAGTGAGTTCTATTTATTTCAGCTGCATGTTAGTTGCATAACAAAATTGGATTTTCCTTTTATGTGATATAAAATCAGGATGAACTTAAACCCTTTTATATGTCAGTGAGAGACATTCGTATCGTATTACCATAGCTTATAGGAGCCATGGTTCATGGGTGTCGGACCCATGCAGGCGCTTGGCCAAGTCAGCACTCGGTATATCGAGACATGCCATGGTACCGAGAAGAGGAGGAGGAGAAGGCATGTGGGCTGGCGGCGGTAGCAGGGCAGTGGTAGGTGTCACTAGATGTGAGGAAGGCTAGGTGCTGCAGCAATGGGAGAGGGGAAAAAAGGAGAGGAGGAGGGGCGGGTGGTGGTGGTGTTAACCTCAAATCAGAAAAGTAAAAAAATAAGGAAGAGTACCGGATCACCCAGAAAGGATTGGTCCATGTGCTTATTCAATTTCAAACCGGTAAATACTGCCCAACACTGATAGGTCCAAGCGATATTTAGAATGTTGATAGGAACTATGTCAATTATGTCTTGCAATCTTCTGGAATTTAATTGGGGTCACAACATAAATTTGAGAAAGCATATTAGTTGGTACTACACCTGGTGACTGGCAATTTGCAGTTGTTCTCTTGTTACATCTTGGATTCTTTTAAATTTTCTTATATTAAAAGCTGTATCTTGCCCATCCAAATTGCAGGCATGATGTTACGTATGCTGTGATTCATGAAATTATCTTTTCTACTACTGACAAACCAAAGCTCCTAAGCCAGGTACTTGTGCTGCTTATATATAATTTTTGTCCATTGGCCCTTGATTGCATATTTTGTTTTAGTTCATATTATAAGCTTGAAGCTCACTTTTAGATTGGAAAAAAAGATACTTGCTTGGCGAACTATTTTATGTCACTAATAGTGATTCATTTCTTTAGGAATTCCTGAATTGACACTTTTCTTTATAAAATTTGTTTGACAGCTGATGGTGTGCTTATTCTTCTCTTTGATTCATAATTTTATTGTGGTGCATTCATAGTATATTGTCATTTTACAACTTATGTTGGTAGGAGTTGGAACAGTGGTCAGGTTTTTCCGCTTCTATCATGGGTTTGAACTTTGAACTATGAATATGCAAGTGATCAAGTGTACGTACATTTTGTCCTCCTTAGGCTCTGCAATGGCGGGATATGATGCAATGGTTTGCATCTCTATGTACATTTGGTCCTCTTCAGGTTCTGCAACAACAGGATCTGATGCATCCATTTGCATTTGTCAAGTTCTACTAGCTTTACCTTCCAAATCATGTATTTTAATATGCTAGTTGGAAACAGAACACAAGCTTGTCATTCGATTGTCTAGCATGAATATTCTGTGAGTATATAGGTTCTTTATAACAATGACTTCTATCAAAAAAGCTTACTCTTAATGTCCGTATTTTATCATATACTTACCCAATGAGACATGAAGATGCACTTAACCTTTTTGGAAACTTTCTGTAGATAATTAGTTTGAACTCTCTACACATCCTCCGTACCAAGTGGTATTAGAATCTGAACACTAAAGAGTATGCTGTGTTGGGCAGAGTTAGGAAGTGAGCTTGGATAAACAAAGGTTCTTTCTCATTCCCTAATTAATAGTAAAAGTGTAGTAATTGAGTTTTCTTTAGATACCTGTTGAATATCAATACTGACCTTGGGTTGGACTAGTACTATAATTATACCAGTCCATTCCAAGTCTAGGTATGGATCACAGTACTGATAGGCATAGATCTTTTTTGTAAATTTATATGCATAGAATAGTCTAGCCAGTGTCCATATTGAACCACTTATTTCCTTGCCTTTGATACTCCTTCATTTCCTCTTTGCTATTTCTATGACCTGTTATAAATAGAAGCAACTAAAAATGTAGAATTCTTTCACCTCCAAATCGTTGCAAATTTCTCACTTAATTTGTCATCAGACCTTTTAACCTTAACATTTTCTTTGAGATGTTTATTTGCTACCTTTCTATGCTTTACTTTCTAAATTAATAATATTGAAATGGGTTCTTCAAAAGCTTCAGATTTTTCCTTTGCTCAATATGCTGCCTATAAGTAAATTGTTTTAGTTACTGTATATTGCAATACTACTACTTGTACTTGAAAGTCCAAATTTCTAGTTTAACTGTGTGTAGTTCAGGATGGACAAGTTATGTACGTAGTGATTGACATTACATGAGCAAATAAAAGGAATTGGAACAAATAAAATAAAAGTAATTTTTATATACACTAAATGACTAAAAGCATATACGTATATATTATATGCTAAATTCACTTATATGTATAAATATGATAATTAAAACTAGGTTTTCAAAGTAAATTTGTTTTGAACCAAAGTTTATGTAATTGGACCTATGATTTGCATCTCTCCTTTTTCTTCTCTTTTGCCAATGGCATGTCGGGCTGGTGCCAATTCACTTGAGGATGTTGATGAAATGTCTAGTGTGTTATGGAATGGTCAATATGCATTGATCCAAGGTTATCCATTAATATCCCTTATTTTATTATTCTAAGCATGAATTGTTGTTTCCAATATTTTTATTGTAATGACATTGTACTATTCCCCTCTAGCACTGATACAAAATTTCTACCCAAGATTTAATTCCTTGGATTTTGGGGCATGTAAGTACATTTGCTTACTATTATGTCCAATTGTCAAAACAATGGATCATTGCCTCTGACATCTTTTCCTATCCTTTTATACTTTGAGGAGCATTTATGTATCTAGCCCAGTATGTATCTAGGTGATAACTTAGCCAAATATGTATCTAGCTAATGCCTAGGGCGTGCGGCTAGTACAGACTGTTGTTTGTCAGGCCGACTGTATACTGGCACATGGACCACCAGTTTTTGCCTAGTTGAAGTGTTCCGGGCTTATGGTTCAATATGATTAACTTACCAGGCATGTCGTTCTGTTTTACTAGTTAAAACCAAGGTACTGGTTGGTAAGCATACTATCCGATACCCCATAATTCATTTAATGTTTTATAGCTTCTAACAGCTCAGTTTTTTTTCCTTCCTTCTCTCTCTCTTTCTCTCTCCCCCTCCCTTTTCTGTCTTTCATGCAGTGCTCTCCGCCTCTTCCTCCTTCCTGCTGTCACTGCATTCTCCATCCTGCTGCATCGCTGTTGCTGCCTCTTCTTCCTCACAAGACTCGCAGCTTCCTCAACTACCTCTTTCACCTTCTCCTTTTCCACCACCTCCTCCTCTACCTTCTCTTTCTTTTGGTCCCCTATCGGAGCTATAACTACTGGACTGTACTGAGTGGTACAGCTGGTATTTGAATTTTCAGTAAAACGAATGGTTTTTCATGTTGGTTCGTGCATGGAGGTACACGCTCTACTTAGTTATGAGCTTTAGCCCCTCTTATGTTGATCTTACTATTTTGTGATGCTGGTTAATGGCCAATTGGTCATATCAAAGCTGCAGATATCAAATTATATCTGTGCTTCTTCCTCTCTTTCTCAAATTTCACTGGATGGTTTATGCTTCTGTTGCACAGCACGTGGTATAAAGGACATGTTTCACATGGATTTCAGAAATAGTATTTTCATATTAGTTATTTCTCGTGTATGAGTGGTTTTCTCTATTTTTGTTTACATTATAACCATTCATATTCGTATTTGGTGCTGAAGATTATTGCATTCTTTTTTCGATGAATTGCCAGATAACAAGCAGACTTGGTATATTTTCTTTTCCCTTTACTTATTTTGATAATACTGTAGGTGATATAGTTTGTTTCATTATTTTGTGTCTTCATTCACTATCCAAACTATTCTGACCGCAATGTCATCTTTTAGCTGTCAACATTGTTATCTGATATCGGACTCAACATCCGGGAGGCTCATGTCTTTTCAACAATAGATGGCTATTCTTTGGACGTATTTGTTGTTGATGGGTGGTCTGAAGAGGTAACCTTTCAGTGTGAAATCCATTTGTTGATTTCAAATTTATTTCTTATGCCTAGACATATAATTGTACAGAAAGAAATTATGAAACAATCACACTTTTCAAATTGACCTGAAGGGGAGCATACATTCGGACTAGATGCAGTCTCTTTTTCTTTGCGATAAGTAAACTAAACTGAAAGTGCTACACCATGGTAGAATGCTGGAAGCATCATTAGTATGTCTAATTAATGCAATTGTTGTACTGTTGTAACTTGATGAATTTGGGTATCTTTTTTGCCTTTTCTTATGAAAAGAAGACAAAGATATACTTTGTAATTTTCATCTTATTAGAAGCATTTAATTTAGTACTTTAAATTTTATGCCAGTCATGATGTGAAACTTCTTATGAGTTCTTTGGGCAGTTTAGTGGTTTTAGCTGATTATGCAAAAGTGTTAGTGATATCTGTTGAATTAGGTCAGTGTGATTGGTTTACTCTGTTGAAACTCAAGTTCTTTCTTCTTCTTATTTTAATATTTTTGATGATTTTCATAGCTGAAACTGTTGAAAATGAACCTTAGGTGAACTGAATAGATATTCCTCTCTATGAGGAAGACTTATGTTCTCTGTCTGTTGATCTTTGATGTTGGTGATCTAGTTGTATTAAACTTTGACTCAGATTGAGCTTATTTAATACTATCATTGATTTCATCTTTATCTCTCTCTCTCTCTTAGCTGCTGTGTTGTTTAAACTATGAAATCTTTATGTTTTATAGACATTGGACTGATGAACACATGATGCTCCCTGATTAACAGCCATCTCATGTTGACCCTTCTAGATAACCTAGGGACATCATGATTCTTATTTCTTTAATGCTATGCTAGGGTCTTGTTGCTAAGGGTTGCTGATTTTACAATACTGTGCTCAGGATACAGATGATTTGCACAAGGAGATTGAGGCAGCAATTATTAGAAATGAGGTGTAAAGATCTTTTTCCTTTTCCTTTGTACTGTTATTATCCATTTGCCTTCCATCAAAGAAGTAGACCATTTTGCTATGGATATGTGTTACTTTTATTTCTTTTAGAGTTGTATGAGGTGCTGGTACTTCGGTCTTTGTTCTTTATCCAACTAAACATGGGGAATTTTAGCTCAGATATCCAAGCTGTTAGGGGACCATTGTGATGTGTCGCCTTTTTTTGAATTTTGAAGTAGCTTACATCTTCTCTTTCGGAAAATCTACACAATATAGTTGCTCCAGATGTTGTGTCTTTAGAGGGATAAACTTTTGGTGGTTTAATAGAGAAGTACTTATATGCACTATACAAAGAAAAGGCTGTTGAGAGAAGTTCAATTTAATGTGATTATTCATAAAGCATCATCCATTTAAAGCTACAATGTGCTACAATATCACCAAATTGCATCGAACTGCTGGTAATCTCCAATGTCTAAGAAATGGAACAACTAGGACTCACACCGTCACGTACATTTCTTTAGAAGCCATCCTCTGGTTGGACCTAAACTGGTCGCACATCATACACCTCGCTGTACCAGCATCAAACTGGTTTGGCCAACGACCAGTATTCGTACTGGACTGAGATATATAACCTTGATGTTTATTACAGGATACTACAACAATAATGTCTCAACTATTACAAGATTATGATTGGATATATCTTCTTTTTAAAGTTTAGTTACTGAATGTTGAGGATGCTACTTTAGCTACTGAATTTTAATTTTACTAAATTTCTATTATTTTATTAAATGATATCAGAAGGTACAAGTTGGTTTGTGGCTTGTTTATTGGTGTCATCCCAGTCTGATAGATCCTTGAAATCGGTACTGGACCAATTTTTAAAAATCTTGCTTCAATGAACATAATTTTTGAATTTGTGGATCACCAAAACTCTTTCCTTTGCCTTTACTTTAGTGCTAACTTGTCATTTTTAGGAAATTTGTGCTACGTCCGTGTTTGTTCATGAGATATGCTAATAATCTTGGATGTTGGATAGCTATGCTTACGTTGTGGCTCCATCTTGGTTTGAGGTTAGGATATGATAATCTATTGTGAAATTAATGCAGAAACAGTTTCCATTGTGGTCTTTTGAATTTTACAGGGTTCCTGGTCGGGTTCATCTCATTCTTCAGCCACTGAGAGGATACTTTCTGTGCAACTAAAAGCTGATGACTGGGATATTGAGAGAAAATTGTTGAAAATGGGAGAGAAAATTGCATCTGGATCCTGTGGAGATCTGTAAGTCAAATAATACTACAATATCATTCACTTTACATGATGGACCAAGCTAATGTGCTCGTTATGATTTAAAAAAAATTGTTACAGGTTCCGTGGCAGTTATTTGGGTCAGGATGTCGCGATTAAAGTTATTCGATCAGATCATCTAAATGAATCTCTACTACTAGAGTTCCATCAAGAAGTGTCAATTTTAAAGTAAATGATTACATCTTTGTCCATGGAAATTTTGTCATGTCCTCTATTATTCTGGTAATTTACTTGCTACTTGGAGGAGCAGCTTGTCATTGAATGCTCTGAAAGATGATAATTATATCACAACATTTTAATTGATTTTCTTGTTAGTAATTAGCTTGCATTGTGCTTTCTTGGTTTTTACAAGGTTCTTATGATAATTGTGGGTCCTTTCAGGAAAATCCAACATGAAAATGTTGTTCGTTTTATTGGTGTGTGCACAAAGCCCTCACAATTTTGCATAGTAACAGGTAATCTTTCTATTTGAAATCAGGTTTATATGTGACCAGCTCATCCATGGGAACTATACTAGCTAGTTCATAACTATATATGAAAGATGTTTTGCTATGTTGACTTTTTTTCCTGCTTTGTTAATTTTTAGAATCAGTGTCCATCATTTAGAAATTAGACTATTGTATTCTATAACTTATACATGCTTCTTTTGATCTTTAAGAACTTCCATTTTTCATGGTTAGTAACCTTGTAAGTTGTGGTGGTTGCTTATTTTTAAACTCCGACAACTATCTTTCACTTTGTTACTCTTCTGTTTATGCTTTCAGGTTTGAGTTTTAGACATCTTGTCATCTTCCAATTTCACATGCAATGTCTTTGTAATAGGAATATAGGAAGGTAATAAAATATTCCAATAATGTGTAACGGATCAACTTGGTGACTGGTGTTTGTTCTGATTGTTGTCCAATGGGTGTTCACATGTCTGATTGCATCAGTGACATCATAACAACACTGATGGCGTCAAGTATAAATAATTCACAATCTGTATCAATATTGGGATTGGCTAGAGACAGTATGACCAGGATTAGTTGGACTAGATCAGTGGGATCAAAATCCAACCAAGTAATAGCTTAATGATAAAATATTGTAGAAAACAATAAAATATAACAAAGAAAATAGGAGTTGGGAAAATTGTATGCCAAACATTGATGTTTATGGCACCAGATTAAAACATGTCTCTTACTCTATCCTGGTTGGTGTATGCACGTATCTGAGGTGCCACTACCTTCTGTCATCATCGTCTTGCCTTCTATCTCTCTCGTCTTACCTTCTATCTCTCTCTTGTTTATATCCATTAGTAAGCCTTTGAATTTGCTGTTTGGAACTTGTTGCGGGCCTTGTGGCAGCTGGTACTATGCTTGCTGTTAGTACAGTACAACATGCTGAGGAAGTGCAGAGGGTATCATCGCGAATGAGGAAGAGGCAAGAGGAGGAGAGGGGACCATCAACAGTTCACTTATTTTGTCGAAACTTAAAAGTTATCAACTCTAAACTATAGCTTTTAGGATGCCAATTTAGGTGTTTATATGATCCTGAAGCTGAGCATCCCTTGGTGCAGTACATGCTGGGTGGTACTCCCACTGACCAGAATGGGAATCCTTGGCTGATTGTTTGTTCCGTTTTTCACCTAATCTATGCATGAGAAGTCTAAAATCTAAAGTTCATTGTCTGCATGATGTAGGTAGGTTTGGCATGCCACAGATAGATTGTTGTTAATGAAGAAAGCAGACTAGCAGGGTGCAGTAACAGATAAGAGAGATCAGTTTGAAGGAAGCACATGTTCTAGAAATATGATGTTGATAAAGGTCTGAAAATAACTATCTTGATACAATGATGAGATTAGGATCGAAGTTGTGTGGTGATAAGGGTACCCTATTGCAGCTCGAGGGTTGTAGGTATTTGCATGTTATACTAAGCATCTTAGTGTTTCACAGAAACCATTATGTTAGGATTCTTATGCATAGCTGTCTTTTGAATTGTTATATAGTTGGTTAATTGTATAATGTATAAGGGCCTTAGGAATTAATTTGAGTAATTATGAGCATTTTTTGTGGACTTTGATTCAATGTGGTTCTATTACATAAAAGCATAAAAGGATCCAAAAACATTATGAAGTTCCAAAAACATATTTGGGAGAAAGTTAAGATACAAAAACCAGGTGGTTCTATGGCATAAAAAAAAAGAGAATCCAAAAACATTTTAAATTCCAAAAAGAAACATTTATAATATGATAGTTAACAAAGCCAGCTTTAATTGATTTATTTTGATTATTCTAAATGGTGATCCTAATAACCTTACACTTCCCTCTTTGCCTCCTATTCTTCCACCTTATCCTCCTCGACCACCTCCACCGGTTCTCGTCTTCCTCTCTCCACCAATCCTCATCTTCCTCGCTCTGGTTGGGTGTAATCAACCTGTATCGAGTGTTTGTGCAGTGAATCCATGCGGGTATTACACCAATCCAGTAGTTGATTGGTATCAGCACCAGACTAAGACTTTAAACTTTATTTATTTTAAAAGTTTTCTTTTCCAAATAATGTGTATATGGTATACCAAATGAGTATTACTTATCTACAATACTTATACATACAACACACTGTTGCTTGCAATAATTAATCATCTTAACATTCATAAGGTCATTGCTATTCAATGTGTATGTTTGCTCACTTCCTGGTCATGTCAAAAAGCTGTGTGTTGCAAGTCGATAGACTTAAGAATCTTCTATAGTTTCATTGGTTTATTTTATGTTGATATATCTGTTGATATGCTGTTTTTCAGATGTTCATTTTCATTCTCATGTTTCTTTCACTTTAGCAGCAGAACTACTTTCAGTGTTATACTTTTGTGCTGATTCTGGTCATGTTGATATATTGTGCTTATCCGGTGTGTATTGCATTTTTTATACAGAGTACATGCATGGAGGAAACCTGTATGACTATCTGCATAAGCATCATAACATCCTTGAGCTCACTATGCTGCTGAAATTTGCAATTGATATATGCAAGGGAATGGAATATTTACATCAGAACAACATTATTCATAGAGATCTGAAGACAGCCAACCTCCTCATGGATAGCAATCTTGTATGTCCCTTATATCAAGAGGCATAGCTGCTTTCCATACTATTTCTCATGAATACAATCTTTAATTACTTTCTAAAACACATTCAAAAGTCACCACTTACATCTGCGTAAATTAACAAAAGAAAAAAAGGATTAGACTGTCATTCTCCACCCAAAAAACCAGTAGCCCTATTTGAAGTCAGTTGGAAATCCTACTGCCATCTCTATATACATGAGATATTTTATATTCTGCAAAATGATTTAGCAAAGAGAAGGTGTCCTTAATTCATGGAACTTGACTTTGTCTGGACTGGGGTTTGATTCAGCTGATATTTATTTGTCTGGACATGAACTGAGACACCGACTGTCCCTCTTTGGGCTGTTTGGTTTGGTTTTATTTTTTTCTTCTTCTTTTTTGTTTAAGATGCTTAAGCCTTAGGGTTTGCGCCAATGCACGAGTCAAGAATATTCATGATTTGTGACTGTCCGCCATTTGTGACACCACCCAGAAATCGAGATCGAACCATATTTTGTAAATAGTGTAACGTTTTGGTTCTCAGCTTTTGTTACAAGAATTTAAGTTGGTATATTGTTTTCTATAGTCTAAATTTTTATTTTTTCTGATATATATGTCTCTTTTAGTGTCAAGAACATTTTCACAAGCATGTGATGTTTCCTTTAGTTATCTTTAATGAATTAAGATTTCTTTCCACCAATTATTATTTAGGTTGTGAAAGTGGCAGACTTTGGTGTTGCTCGGATACAGAATCAAGCTGGAGTTATGACAGCAGAAACTGGGACATATAGATGGATGGCGCCTGAGGTATGTCTTTAATTGGGTCTTTTGCTGTAATTTAGATTATATAATCGACAAGATTCCATTATTTGAAACATATGCATTTAGAGAACAATTTCACAGAATTTTAAGAATCTAACTCTTCATATTTTATTTATCATTTCAACAAGCTTGAATGCCCATTAGTTATATGAATTTTTTTAACCATTGAGATCTGGTTATGGCAAAATTTCTAGTTAAACTATGAACAATCAAATCTTCTTTGATTATTTCTTATTTTTTTAGATTTTCTCTCTTCTTGTCCCACCAGTTTTAATGTATGTCTCATTTGACCAAGGGATCAATAGGTTTTCTTTAAACATATCCATTACATCTTAATAATTATTTCCATACATCAGAGCTACACTTAATTATTTACAAATAGTAACATTCCTTATTCTATCTTTTCTTGAAATATTCTATACACCTCCACATCCTTATATTGACTACACTTCCTCGTGAGATCTCCATGCTAGTGATCAGCTCTGCAGAGCTGGTTGTCTCCTTTTCTCACATTACATTTCAATATCTAAGGCATGGCTTATTTATTTCTCTTATAAAACATTTTGCTTCCTTGTGAGACCTCATGCTAGTGGTAAGCTATGCAGAGCTGGTTGCCTCCCTTTCTCAGTCAGATGGCCCAGTTGTTCCCTTAGGTTAAAGTTCAAGTTGTCCTTGAAAAAATATGTCCAAATTTATTTAATGGAATTTTAGGGCTAAATATTTAAGTTTGATTTGTCATATTGTTGATTGCAGAACCTCCTTTGTGACTCGAAGTGACCTGCCCTAATGTGATGCCACTACCATCTCGTGTTAGGCCATTGACCTATGGTTAGAGGGTCAACCAGATCTTGGGAACCAAAGGGGATAAGATGGTTGTGATCTAATTCATGCAAAACTATAGATGCTTTACTCCAATTTAATCACTTTGCTTTTACTCGTAGAATAATAGATTCACTTTTAATCTTTCTGTTCTATTGAATACCAGATCTAAAATACCGTCACCAGATAATATATAAATGTCCAATTGCACTCTGTATACATTAGCCTGTAAGTATAAATGGTGTCTAAGTGCATGAGTTAGTGCCTTCTGGACCATGAACAGGCTGTAGGCCCCAAAAACTATCAGGAAGAATGAGGATGGAATATAGAGAAACAATTCCATATGAATCTAAAATTTGATATGCGAGTAACATGCTCTTATGTACAAGCATATATCAGGTGTAGTAGAAACTATCTTGAAACTTAACATGACTGTGCACAATCTTTTAAAGATGATATGTTGGGCACTAAGTTTGGTGTCTTTCAAATCTCATAAGTCAATAAACTTTGTTTTAGATGGTGCATACAAGGACAAATGCATGTAATTATGTGGACACTGATGCATGGTTTTAGATCTCGATATTGCATCCGTACCAGTCCTGGCAGACTGATGTGTCCCAGATGTACCAGCATACTGACATGATATGCCAGCATACCAGATGGTGCAAACAAAAGAGAGGGAGTGAAAAGGGGGACAAGGAGAAGGAAAGAAGGAGAATGGAAAGTAGTACGAAAATGAGGAGAAAAAGGAGAGAAGGAAAAGGAGAAGAAAGGAGGCTGAGGAGTGGGGATGCCTTGGATGTCAACAGCAGGCTGAGGATATTTAAAAAAAAAAAAGGGTTATGGACCAGATTGGGCACATCACCCGATCTTGGTGCCAGTTCTTGGTCGATGTGGTACGTACAGACCTTTTTTTTGAACTATGCATGGAAGATTAGTTAAAAATAAAAATGCAAAAGTATTTGTAATACAATACTTAAAAAGAGAAACTGGAGTGTGACACCCCATTGAGTTCCACATTGAAAGTGGATAAAGACTAGATTGTCTTATAAGATGGGTGGACCTATTGTTACCTGCAAGTGTATCAGTTATCCCATCTCAGATTGATTCGTGACATGGAGGCTGTATATCCTTGTTGTACTATAGAAGTAATAGAGATACTAAACTACAGTTGCCAGTGAGACAGATCTGAAATTTTAAATATATTCCCCTTTTCAGGTTGGAAATTGCTGTAGGATATATCAGCATTTTCTTCTATAATGTAGATATTACTTATCTTATTTTTTCTGTGTTGTATTAAATTGAAGTTATGGTCCATATCTTTTTATGGTTCAAACATATTTATGTCTTTCTCTAGGTTATAAATCATCTACCATATGATCAGAAGGCAGATGTATTTAGTTTTGCAATTGTACTTTGGGAGCTCACAACATCGAAGGTTAACAAAGCTTTCCCAGTTCAACTTGTTTATATGAGATTGACTGCGAATGAAGGGTCATACCATCTAATATGGCATTGTTATAATGTGTTGATACACAGATCCCATATGAGACCATGACACCTCTGCAAGCTGCCCTAGGAGTGAGACAGGTCTGTATTTTGATAAATGGAACAAAAGTCACCTTTTCTATTCATGTGATTTATATAGCGATCTCAAAGTATTGAAATTGTGGCATTCTTATTGGATTCTTGAATCAAACAACAAGAATCATGTCAAATAATGCGTCCCAATATTGGATTTGTTTTATATTAAATTTATCATGTATAGCTTTTAATATTATTAGTAATGACTGACGACATCAGAAATGACCCCTTTTTTTGTCTTGGAGAAAGTATGTGGTCACTGAAATGCCATTATAATTAAACATGGTTTGAGGGAGATAGACCACCAGTAGGCCAGGACCCAGTTGGTTAAAGCCTTGTAGACTTATGTTTGTATTCTTATGGAATCGGAACATAATTCTTATATGACATTAAAGCAATTGTCTTCTATCCATTTATCACTTCTTGTTCTTCTTGCCAAATGAGATGCTCATGGTAAGTGTCTAAAACCAATTTGTATGTCCATAAACAACAAAATTGGTTTTTCATTCCTTCTTTTTGATTGTCTGCTTTTGAGTCAAATGTGTTACTGTACTACATGTTCGGAATCAATTAGCGTGTCCGTATTCATGAAAACCACAATTAGTTTTTCTTTCATGTGTACTGTCTCTTTGAAGTATCTTTTTTCAAATGTACAGTTCCTTTCCAGTCATTTATGCTTCTCTCTGTAAAGAGCTGGTTCACACATGCAGATAAAAAAAAGTCAGAAGCCAGATTAAGGCAAGAAGATGTTAGAATATTATAGACCAACCATCATTGGATGTTTAAAAACTAAAGTATGATGTTCCATGTCCACACAAAAATGTACACTAAATATCGGTGCTAACATGGCTAATCAGTGGCACTCATAAGTCATAATCCATATGACACCCATATCCACTTTACTCCATTTTGCTAGTTGATGGTGCCACAAGGATATAACGTAATGCCAGCACATTTATGCATTGTTGTAGAACCCAGAAGAAAAACCCTTTCTTCAAATGTTTTCATTAGTTATTCTTTTTCCTTCTTTCTGTCATATATTTCTGTAATTATTTCTATACACTGTTTGTTTTACATGGTCTGGAAATTTTATCATCAAAAGCTTTTACCAGAAGACGTAACTGTGCTATCGATTATGGATGTCATTCATTTAGAAGCTTATATCATGTTTACTTCCAATATTAGGGGCTTCGTCCTGTACTGCCCGAATACATGCATCCTAGATTGTTGGACTTGATGCAGAGATGTTGGGAGGCAGCTCCTGCAGAACGGCCCACATTCTCAGATATCAGAGTCGAACTTGAGGAACTTCTCCAATTGATTCAGGTGCATCGATACTGAAAATATATGCAAAAAAGGCTCAATAACATTTATAGATAATGGAAAATGCTTTGTTTAATTTGGAAGCATTAGATTACGATTTGCTATACATGTGGACAAATTAGATAACTCTGATCCTACTGCAAAAGCAGGAAGCTAGAGCAACCAATCATCAAGAAAATAATGCCTCAAAAGAATATGAGAAACAAGTCTTCCTCCAGAATTGACAGTGCTCTGACAACAAATAATTGGTCCATAGTCACAGAAAACGATCCGATAGAATGAAGCAGTAGTAATTTCTCTTCGAATATGTTGCCTTTTTTGTGCTGTTTCACATGTTTGTATTTCACTGGGATGAAATCTGGGAGAACTGATCTGTCTTATTAGAGCCCCTGGTCTCAGATACTCCAGTTAACAGCATCAGCGATTGTGGATATATCTGACGGAATTTATCTGTGGAGCAACGAGGACTAAAGCTATGTACTTCTGGTAGAGGGAGGATTGTAAATGCTGATTCGGCTAATCGATTTATGTAGTGGAAGGATGCCTGTCCTTTTGTTTCCACACCATGTGTATATTTTATGGGGGTTCTTTTATGGAACTGATCCCTTGGTAATTTATGAATCTCCAATTGCTATGATTAATGCGTTCGACACACAGTGCGGTTTGCGTCTTACTAAAAACTGCTGCAGTGACACTGACAGGCTTCACACCTTTCGTTTTGTTCCCGACCAGTAATTGTTTAATTTAAATGCTTTGCCTCTTACTAACTTTTCTATATCTAACGCATGATATTTTTAGTCTGTTATATTGTAATTCTTGATGTGCAGTCAACCGCAGAGAGAATCTGCGTGAAGTGACTCGTCCAGCATCGCCCGCATACGAACTAAACAATCTGCTGCAGCATCGCAATTTGTCCTTCAACCGAACGCGCAGATGGTACGAGTAATGTGATATGGAAAGAAAGGTGACGTAGATAATCGTAGCATATCCAAATATGAGTTAATTTGGCATGATATATTCTTATGGCATCATGAAAAATGAGCTAATTCGGCATGATATAATGTCATGATAATATCTATTAGAGACATCGTACGTTAGTCCTCGGGTCCTACCATGAATTTTTAATACAATAGGATCATATTATAAAAAGGGGATGGTAATAGGCATAAGTGTATGTGTCTCTCAGAAAATTATGCAAGCGCAACCTTCAAAATTTATTATTATATATATATATGTATATATATAATCTGACTTATATCTAATTTCATTATTTATTTATTTTAAATTTTATATAAGTAACAATCTGACGTAACGAGATGAGTGGATCAAAACAAATCTTATTTAAATTAAACCTAAATCACTCAGTCAAAATATTCATATTTAAATGAATAATAATGTATTTATTAATCATGAATGGATCAAAATAAATCTTATTGCGCTTTCCACGTAAGATCAAATTATAAATCTTATAATACATTCTTCGTCAATAGGGGCTTTTGCTCCCAGTGTGTTAGTATTGTCGATCCAACGTTGCAACGGCCAACGGGACATTCTCAGCAAAAAGAATATAAACGGTATAATAGCAACTTTATCGAAGAAACCGTACGAGTTATTCATTATTATTATTAATAATAGTAATAACAATGATAAAGATGATGATAATAACAACAATGACACTCATCCGCCGTCGTCCTCGTTGGGAAGGGGTGTGAAAAACGCATGCTTACATACAATACAGCCTCTTAAAACCCGGTCACATCTGGTCTTCCTGCGCCGCTCACGCTTTGCCGTGCGGAGTTGAAGAAGGAGAAGAATACGAAGCAGAGAAGCAGGAGATTACTGGTTCGTTCGAAGCAACTGGTCATGGTGGAAGAAAAGCAGCATGCGGGAGGAGGAAGAAGAGAGAAGAGAACCGATCGGCTGGGTCGCCCCTCTCCCAATCCTCCTCGTCTCTCCCCCTGTAAGCGCAACCCTGCCACGTCCTCCTGCTCCTCCTCCTCCTCCTCTTCCTCCTCCTCTTTTCACCACCTGCTTAAGAAGACCCGGTACGCCCCCGACCTCTTCCTCTGCCATAGCTGTGGTCTCCGTTTCCCTTCCAACAACAACAACAACAACCCCCTCGACCATCTCCGATCCCAGTGGCGCGTCGCCCTCCTCTGCCGCACCTGCCTCGCCCGCGTCAAATCAGCTGACATCTGCTCCTATTGCTTCTCCCCCTTCTCCCCCATCGCTGACGCCGAACGTTCCCTCACTTGCCTCAGTTGCTCCTGCCGCGTCCATCTCGGATGCGTCGACCGCGAGCACCGCTGCCTCGATCCTTGTCGCCTGGAGCCGGGCTCCTTCACCTGCGTCGATTGCTGTGTGATCCCTAAATTTTGGGGCAGGAAACCTGGAATTGGTTCTAGGGTTTCGCTCGAGGTGGTGGTGAGGGAAGCCAGTTCTGTGGCAGAGAAGAAGATCGAGGCAGCTGCCAGGGCCAGGGAAAATGCTCTGAAGAAGGCTGATGCTGCAAAACGTGCCGCTGAACGGGCTAGGAATGCGTTAGGTGCTGTTCTTGCAGCCAAGGGGGATATTTCAGAGCAGAATGCTGATCTGGCTGCAGTTACCGATCAAGAACTGGCTCTCCAGCTACATCTGGCTATGAATGGGTCTAGGAGGATCTCAAGGAGTTCTTCTTGCTCTTTAAGTTCAGGTGCTGTTGGTTCAATTGACGTAAAGAAAGTGTGTGGCCGAGGTGGTGATCAGATGAGCAGGAATGTTGATTCCGGTGATCGCGGAATTTGCAAAGCAGCTGAGATTTGTGCTGAAGATAATTCCTTTCTTGATGTGGCAGCGAGAACTGTGTTTGGTCAGGGTTCAGATGTTGATTCAGAATCCAACAGGAATCAGCAGAAGAAGCTAATTGATGATAATGGCAGAGATGGTCATGCTGTTATGCCACCAAAGGAGAATCCGGGCAACTCTTCTGATAGAATTGTTAGTTCTGATGCAGATTTTTGTAGCACCGACTCTGTATCGTTGGATTATGAGAAGAAAAAAGTATCTGATGTTGTATTGTTTCCATCTACATGTCGAAGATATGTCATAGAAGGATCTGAAGTGCAAGAAAATAATAGTATTACAACACCAGATAGATATCTTGTGAAATATACTGCAAGGAGGTCGAGACCAAAGGGATTGGTAACTGAGGATTACCAGCTACTTCCTTGATGACAAATTAGTTCTTCCAAGATGTCTAAATTGATTCTCCTTAGCAGGCTTCCATGACTGTCATGCATTCTTCTTCCTCCACATGTTTTGGGTGCAATCATGAAAACAGTTGCCAGAGGTAAGCCATACAGGTTAAAGGGTCAACTCTGCCATTTGTTTTTTGATCTCACTGCTTATTTCCTTCTGTCATTGCTCTTGTTACTGTTGTGAATTTTTAACATTGGTTTATGGTTTTAGCTTTTTTTTTTGGTAAAGTTAGGTATTTTTCACCTATCAATGAAAGATGATTGAGAAAATTATGTATGAAAGTCACAAGCAACATACACAAAGCAACCAGAACTCTCAATTTTTTATTTTAACCGGTAACATCACCATATATTGAAAAAAAACATAGCCTCAGATAAGTCATAAGCGTCACTTGGGAATTCTTTTAAGAGTAAAAATACTTGAATTCCCTGCCAACCTGGAAGGGTTTTCATATTATGGACATGGTCTATTAGAAAATTCAATCTCAAGATGCAGGCCATCATGCTTATTGTTTGAATCTTTGATATACATGTTATAAGCTATGCTATTCTTTGATATCTATGGTGGTTTCCTTGATAAATTAGGATGCATGATAGGTGAGACTAGTTATGACAACTTCCTGGCTTATTTTGGTGAAACTGGGTTTGGTCGATGGAGTAAGGATAAGTGGATCTTTGACTTAATAATTATTCTGTGTTCTTGTAACATATTATGATGTTCCTGGCAGTCTTAGTGTTTCTGGGCCAAACATCAGGTTCGCTGGCCCGTCTTAGAACTATCTGGTGCTTAATAGGCCCTATTCAGCAGCCATAGTGGTCATATGATGTTGGCTAAGCGATCTTAAGGTTTTAGTAGCTTTGATAAAATCTATTTTTTGCATTGTGAAACTTCAATCAGCAGATGATGACTCTTATCTCTTACTAGAACAGGTTAGAGATGATTGTAGAAGGTTCATGTGGAAATTTCCTATCCTAGCCCCAACAAGGGAGCAAATAGTTGCCAAGTCAAGGCAAGGCTAGCCGTTCTTGGCTCCATTTGTCCATCAGGAGATGGGATAACAAACACTATTTGGTTGAGCATTTACCACTCCAGTAAGAGGTCGGTCAAGATGATACTGTAGGAGGGTGATCTGGAACGGTCACTTCTTGTCACCATAAGTATAATAATATCTATTTTTTTCAGTGATTTAAATGGGCGTTCAGGTAAGGCTAGGCGAGGCCCGAGCGCCTCAACAGTGAATTAGATGATGCACTTCAATGAGGCGTCGCTTGGGTGCTTGCCCGAACCCAGGCACTGAGCGCCTCAAGCGAGTGCCCGGTTCAAATAGTTGAACTAAAGCAGAATTTTAAGTCTAGTTCGATTCAATAGTGGCTAGTTGGTTCAATCGAACCAACTAAGCACTTTCTTACTTGCAAAAGCCACCCTCGCATGCCCGTGCGGCCCCGAGCGATCAACCCGAGGGAGCGCTCCACCTATGGTTCTGCCGCTGCCTCCGTCGCAGACGCAGCGGACCGAGGCCTCATCTGTTGCCAACAGACGGGTTCGACGGCTTAGCCTTCGTTTGTAGCTTCCTTCCGCCGTCGCTGGCAGTTCCTTCTACTATTAAGGGAGATGACTGTAGCTTCCTCCGCGACTAACGTACACTTTGGAAGCTTCCTCCGTCCATGACGTTGCTGTCTGCAGCTTTTGTTGCTGTCGCTACTATCGCAATTGTCGTCCGCAGCTTCCTCCGCTGTTGTGACTGTCATCCACAACTTCCTCCATCACTGTTGTTGTCGTCCTGACACGGACTTAGCTGGTTTTGCCTAAGTTGTGCGGCACCCTTGCGTGTCCGTCCGCAAAGGTCAGCCTCCCCGAAGACTCCCATTGTCCCTTAGGACCAACAAAAGAGAGAACAGGTAAGAGAGAACGCCTCAATCGGGATCCACAAGCAAACATGTCCGAAAAACACTTCATAGGCAATGCAAATTACAAACAGACTTTACAAGCTCTGAACAGTGGCACAACAAAGGGTAAAATGGTCCATTACAGACCGAAAAGCTCTCTCACGTGTCCACATGACACAACCTTTATTTACAAGCCTAAAGAGGCCACCAACCCAACTAAAATGGGACTTATAAGCCTTCGGCCGCCCCTTTACATTCTGTACAGGGCATGAACATGCCAAAAGACACGGACACACATAAGCATTACATCCAACATCTTGTTGAGAAGTTTGTCCGTGACATTCTCCCCCACTTATCCCTTCGACGTCCTCGTCGAAGCCTTTGTGAACACTGCAACTCTTCGCCTTTGCTGAGTCTTCAATCTTCTGCTCCAGCTGCAATGCGCCTCCTGGCTCCCAGCTGCTCTCCGTTTCTGAGTAGTCGAACCTTTGATCCGCCATGCTGCTTCAACTCGCCAATGACTCTGACTCTGGTGTGGGGTTGGCTGAGTTGTATTGATCCTCATTGATTCCTGCGGATCCACCAAATGAAGGAAAAGACCATTCTTACTGCGCCAGTTTCTCAAAATTTCAACATGTTGCTTGAACTGGGTGGATGCTTGTTGGAGCTTTAACGAGCATCGCCTCGCAAACTTCTGAAGTTTTGGGTCCTTCCTTCACAAAATCTGCTCATTGACTCTTCTTTCAGTTAGTTGTCACATCCAAGTAGGTTCGCATCACTTCCGCTTTCGATTGGCATTTCGTTGGGAAATGAGGCGGACAATCTACTCTCAGTAGCACTGATCACCGTTGGTGAGGATTTGACAACTATTGTCTTCCATTATCTTCGAAGGGTCTTTGAACTTGTGCAGAGCTCCTCTGCTGGATAGATAAGAGAATTGGGGTACTCGGTTTCGCCCATCCTCTTAAGAGTTGAGAAGGCAAAGGTTACTTGACTTCGCCCGCCTCCTCGAGGTTGTACTTCACGCATCGAGCTGGTTACTGGCCTTCGCCTGCTCTTTGCTCACACTTCTGAAGCACTTGAAGTGTTTGCACTCCTTGCGTTGAGTTAGTTACTATGATTCACCTTCTCAATGCCATTGAACTTTTGGAATGCAGGAAGTTTTCACCCCAAC